TCTAAATTTGTTTATTCTTGACAGTAGAACAGCAGTTAGACATTGTTTGTAGTGTCCCATTGTATCCAATGTCTCATTGTATTGCTGTTCTTGTTTTCAGAAGTTTAACAGTCCTAAGAAACAGTTCAAGCGCAGAGATGGGGACCGTTTTGATTCCTTGGTGGAGCAGTACAAGAGAAAACTGATGGGCAGCAGCGACAAGAACGCCTCCATCAAAAGAAACAAGTGGTTTGATAGTTAAACCTGTGAGTGTAAGAAAGGAAGTGATCCTTGAGAAATCCACGTCCTGCTAAATTCCATCTAGTGGGAAGTTCGCATAGATTTTGTTTTTAAGAGTTGTGGTAAACTGTACAGGCAATTAACTGCATGACAGTGACATGACACTTTGTAATTTTCAAAGCAAATTGAAAGTTTTTTTTCTTTGTGCTAGTTTGTTGCATATCTCTTTTAAACATTTATTTTTGAAAAGGTATTTGTTTTTCTGTACATCATTGCTTGTTATGTGAATTTTTATTTTTTTTATAGTCCCGTGCTTTACAGATATCTATTTGTATTTGAACTTGTTAGATCAAATACATACACACAAGTCCACTCAGAACATTTTACTTCATTACTTTTCTCAGCCCACATGTACAAATTCCACAGCACTGACTGGTAGGAAAGAGTTTCATTTTTATTTATAGTTTTATTAAAAACATATAAAATTGTACTCTCTGTACAAAAATATTCCACATGTTTCCTGTGACCATTTTCCCTTTTTTCAGCAGCTGTTGATATTGCACAAACCCTTTACTCTTTCTTTGCCTTTGGTTCTCAGCCAAACCAGTTGGCTTTGGTTTAGGTTTCCGGAGTTTCCAGCAGTGACGATGTTTCCTATGTCATTTCATCTGGTCGCAGTCATCAAAACTGCTGATTCAGCGTTAGGACTAGACCAATCACTCACACTGAGAGCGATGTTGACGCAACAGTCTTGCCATGTAACAAACAATAAATCAAGATGTGTTCGAAGCAAAGATTAAATAGGTTAAAAATACAAAAAATAAAATACAAGAAATAAATATATTCTTTATAAGTGCATTTTTTCTTAAATAAAATTATTTCAAACTGTATCGCAAAATTCCACCTCACTCAGTGCTAGTGCAGACTTTACAAATCTTGTAAAAATGTTAGATATTTTGGCCTCAAAGTCTATTTTCAGCAAGATGCAATACCATCAAATTTGTCTTGGAGCAACTTGAGGATCTCCTTTACTCCAAGGAGAGCCTCTAAGCTCACAGCTTCGACATGGCGTTCTGGGTCCTGCTCCCATTCATTTTGCAGTTGCTGCAGCCGCTTTGGAACTATAAGCTTTGGGTTTTGTGCCGTGCAGTTCATCAGTTTGTGAATGATGGTGTTGGTCAGTTCGGAGATGTCAGTTCTGACTTGGACAACATTCAGTAGATTTTCAGAGATCAGGCTGTTGTAACCCTCCAGGGCCGCCACTATGGACGAATATCCTTGAAGTTCAGCAGGAGGAGCGACTCTCAAGCTTGAAAGAGTCTGTAAAATGGCAATAAGAGCATATTTCAGTCACAAACAAGCTCATTTATTTAAGCTTCAAAAAGCACTTTAGATTTAAGTTTAATAAGCAATGCTCTGAAACATACCTGGAAAGTGTTTAACCTAACCATAAGCATTTTTATTTTCAGTTCAATAATGCTCTTGTCATCTGGCAGAGGTTTTCCTGTTCCCACATTTAGAACATGAAACAAGAAAAACAGGGTCACCAGCGTGAGGTCCATAATGATTTTTTTATCCTGGGTACAGAAGAAGTTCCTAGAATATGAATTGGAAGAAAAAGTCATTATTTGAAGTGACACATTTATGTCAGAATACAGCTCTTACCTATGTCTAGCTTTTAGAAAATCAGGCACATGGCAGTACATTTGTTTCACCTTTTAGTTTTAGTTTCAAAATATTTTGTAGCCGCAAATATTTGTAGTATAGACAACTCTGTGGGTTCTTGAATGTGTAACACGATCAAAGTTCGCTCTCTTTAGCTAACACCAATTTTTTTCTTCTGTACTTTTTTATTTTTTGTATTCTGAAAGCACTACAAAGTGATGTCAAGCAGGAAAAAGACAAAGTGCTTATAATCTGTGACCTAACTAAGCTTCCAATAAAGTTTTGATGAAAAAAGACCGTACACAACTAGATAAAGAACATGTTTGATAGAAAACAGAGTGGGAAACACCTGAAGAAAGTAAATAAGACATCTAACAAGACGCAGAGAGAATGGACCTTACCTTGCTTGGAGTTTGAATGGGTGACACTGTTTGCCTCCATCGGGGTATCTTATATTAGAGGGCTGTTGAGTCATCTCTTACTCACCTCTTCAACCCCCACCCCCCATCCCACTTACTCACTTCTGCCCATTACCTTCTACTGTGGTGCTGCAGCAGACAGTAATTTAAGTCAGTAGTTAATTCAAAAATAAGTTTTGTTTCTTTTTATTAATTCAATTCAGTTTATTTATATAGCGCCAATTCACAACACATGTCTCAAGGCACTTCACAAAAGTCAGGTACATACATTACAATTAATCCTAATCATTGAACAGTACAGTCAGATTCAGTTATTTATTCAAATTGGATAAAAAGTTTTTCTAAGGAAACCCAGCAGATAGTTAATACCCCCCCCCCCACCCCCCCACCACTACAAATTGATAAGAGATGTAAAATGTATTTGAGTTAGTTTTTTTATTTTTATTTTTTTCATGCTGTTTTTGTTTGTCACATATGTCATTGTTATTTAGGGGATTAAATCTCCCTTGAATATATGTGACTACAAAGACGTGTCAAATAAGAATAAATGAAGATCAAATATTTCTCTAAAAGAAGGATTTGTGGGCAATGGAAGACAAGCAAATTATTTATTTAGACATTTAAGCAACCTAACTTTTGAAATGATTCTATGGAGCTTACACATGATAAACAAAATAATAGTGCCTTGAATCGGCACCTTAACTTGGTGGAGGGTTTGTTTACTCCAAAGATGAGGGCTATGTTGTCCAGAGCTGTAGCTCATGGTCAGGGTCTCAGGGAAGGGGTCAGACTAAGAGCGATTGAATAATTCCAGTGACTTGGCTGACCGCAAGAGGAGTTGAACCTTGCCCAAATTAATGGGGTTACTCACAAGCCTCCGACTGAGTGCCTCAATTTTGGAGTTGGGGAAAACTACAAGATGTTACTGTATCCCCTGGGCCAAAAGTGTATAAAAATCCTTCCTTTCAAATGCCATCAGCTTTCTTAACTAAGCAAACTGTCCAATTCAAAGACATTCACTTGACCTGCTCTACTTTTTTCAAATTCTTTGCTTATTTTGAATCAGTTTTTTATTGCAATTCTTGATTTTTTTGGACTGTAATTTAGCATTCTTGTGGTCTGTTATTGTTGAGTCATCTTGGTGGACAATTAAGATATTCTGTTCTGTCATGATTAGTAACAATCATTTTGCAGTAAGGAAAAGGAAGTTTCTTATGTATGTTTTGTGTATGTGGTGGGTGGCAGAGGGTCAGAACGAGGGTCTTGCTGCCACTGTATTTTATAAATGATAAAAATAAAAAAACTACAAGGGAAAAAAACGGATTGTTTTGGCATCTCTTATTTTAAATACTGTACATGTGAACTTTAAAATACATAGCATTGCTCGATACTATTGTATGACTATTGATTGTTGTAACAATTTGGTTGCAATATACAACAGAATGTGTGGCATTAGTGTGCATGATGAATTGGAAATAACTTACAAACACATACATGCTGAATTTCCAAAGCAGATTGCTTAATCAAGGTAGTAGTCACACTGCACAAATTGATGAAAACTACAGCCACGTGTTGAATTTTAGGTACTGATCCTGATTGTTTTCGTTTCTTCAAAGCAACTTTAAGTCATTGTCCCGAGAACTTTTAGAGGGTGTCAAGTCTTATTAAAGTAAAGAAACCAAACTGCGAGTTTCTAGTTTCTCTTGCAGTAACTTGGTGAAAATCAAGAGACCTTTTTTTCACAAAAATTTCATATCCATTGAATGGGATAGGCAGAGCTGGGACAGAATCTCAAAGTTGTTGAGGTTACGGGACACACACAAGTGGACCTGATTTTAGGAGTAAAATAAAATCTGTCATGTCTATTTACAATTAAAAGAGGGGTGAATAATGTGAAGGTAAACTAACACTAATTAAATTATGTGTACATTTGTCTGGTTAACTTTTAAACAATACGTAAATCATGTCTCATACCAACTCTCTTGAGATTTCAAAGCAAACAGAGCGCATTTCAGGTCAAGTAGAAACATTTCCTGACATCTGGAATGAGTAAATGTGGCCTCTTTTTTCATTCTGGCTTTTCCAACAAGATCTGACGTCATAGTGGCGTCTCAGCTGTGCCTCACTTATTTCACAATAAAAAATCAGTGTAAGGGAAAGTTTAATAATGTATGCAGTGCATTTGAAATTAAACATGTACAGTCATTGCCAAAGACTGACAGACGTCCTTTTTTCCCACAAACTTTACTGCTTCAGGTTTTAAGGAGGTTATTGCCATTGACTCTAAATTGCTTTGAAGAGAGATCAGATAAAAAGCAATGATGCAATGTATCATCACTGAGAGGAAAGTGTTAAGGAGGCCAGGGTGGTTCTGATTGTTATAGAAAAATTAAAAATAATTTGTTAATCATAGTTCTGTCCAAGAAAACTTTCTGTTATTGAGAAAAAGGCTTAACAGTAGATTTGTCACATAAAATTTAAAACCTAATATCATTCATTTTCTATGCCCGCTTCTGTACAAGGTCACGGGGGCTGGACTTCCTCTATGGGCAAGATTACCTCCAGCAGTCTATGTGCAAGAGGCAGGGTACACACTGGAAAGGTCACCAGTTCGTTGCAGGGCAACACAGAAGCACACAGGACAAACAACCATACACGCCTAAGGGCGAGACCAATTAACCCAATGGTCATGCAAAAAGACCCGGGGCTGGGATTTGAACCCAGGACCTTCTCACTGCAAGGCAACAGTGCTACCAACTGCACCATTGCACAGCCCCAACCTGGTAGCGGTAGGTTCATGCAATAGACCAAAACTCTTTTGATCTTCAACAAATAGTTTTGCAAGGCTCTGTATTGTTGAGCTTCAGTACAGAGACAAATGCTAAAAGGATTTGACAACACTGAGGAAGCAAACATTGTAAAAAACAAAACTTCTGTCATTGCCAAAAACATTTTTAGCAAGAATCTTCATTTTCTGTTTCCGGCAATTTTGTATCAATTTTTTTTTTGTGATAATCTAGGATGAGGCAAAAAGTTCCTATTTTTTAGTATTTTTTTAGTATTGATCATATATTGAAAATCAATTATTGAAATATCAATTATTTTGATAACCCTACTGGCATATTCCTACTGGTAAGATTGTGCCAAAATCAAACCTTTATTGAATCATTAATTCTGCAGAATAGAGGTTCAGCGGCTTTGGAGAAAACCTCCGGGCACCTTGGAAAAGCCAGTTAGACCGTCTTCTAAAGAAGATTAAACTAACGGACTGGGTTTCAACAGCACAGAGGTTGTACAAGAATGGCAACATGCAGGTGTGACCCATTTCTACACTCACTGTAAAGCAGAAACTTTTGGAGACTTTCCTGGTATCAAGAAGGGGGAAAAAAATCCCTCATGAGCAACTTTGCCCAACAGTCCAGCATTAATTTGGTGATGTACAATGCTTTTTCCAGCACAACTGAATCCCATGCCATAAGGCATAAGTGACAAAAGAAACATCCCTATCAAATCTTTACAGCATACAACATATGCATACCAACTGGATGTTTTATACGTAAGGTTAAAATTAAAGACTTTGATTCTGGGATTTTTATGTAATAAACTAACAGTATGTAGTGCATAATTGTAAAATGGAAGGAAGAAGTGGTGAACTGGTTACTGCATTAATCTAAGCCAGTCCCCTTGTAATCCTGGCTGCATCTTTAGGGCTGTTGTTCAGTGGGAAGGTGTTAGGAATAACCTTTATTAATATGCTCATAGCTGTTTTTCCCATTTATACTATAGTGAAATAAAGTATATAAGTATATAAGTTATAATGTTATAATGTTTCCCTTTTGTTACAATAGGATAAGAATGCTCATAAACATACAGTACAAAGATAAATGGCCCAAGGTTTGTCATGAATGACCTGAGGCTGGGGGACTGGGTTTGATAGTGGAGCAGCCAGTCTAACTGGTTTGATTAGAAAGCCACAGCACACTTAGATTAAGTATGGACACCCGCTACTACACAATAAACAGATAGACACCACAATGGTGACACATAGTCTACTGATAAACACTGAGGGAGGGCACATCCATTGCATTGGAGTGCCAGATATAAAAACTGTATGTGACCTTCTATCGGGGCAACGGTCCGAGACGGGAGCCTCAGCGCTGATCTCTGTAATCATTCCTCTGCCTTAATTTATATTAAAGGAGCTAAAAGTTAGAAACTGGTTGAGAGTCGTTCCTTTAAGAGTCACTGTTAGATAAAGTGTGTCATTGCTTCTGGGGACCAAGTACCGGAGGAGCTCCGAGGCGTCTGACCGCCAACAGGGTGCGGTAACCCGAACAAATGTGAACCTCAGCACTTGTCTCAAGTCTTTTGCAGCCTCTAACAGGATTTCTTCCAGGATTGCCCTAATTTTTCTGTCTTTCAATCAGCTTTGACCAACTTCCCTGTCCCTGCTGAAGAAAGGCATCACTACAGAATAATGCTGCCATCAACATGGCTCCATAATTTTTTTTCCTACAGTGTAGTATGCATTTGTGTTCATCTCCTTTACTCAAACAACCCCTACTTTGAAGTTTGTTTGTAACGTAATTTGGAAAAGTTCATGGGGAACAAATACTTTTGCAAGGTCCTGTATTGTTGAGCTTCAGTACAGAGACAAATGCTAAAAGGATTTGACAACACATCATCTTCTCCTGCATCTTTGCTGTTGCGGTTTTGACAGCTATGAAAATTCTGAGCATGTGGCTTTGCAGGTGTCCTTTGATGTTTGTATATGTCAGATCCTTTTCCTGCTGAAAAAGAAGTCTGTCAAATCCAACAGGAGGGCACTCAAAGGCTTCATTATTATTTTATAAGCATAGTGTGCCACATGACTTATTGGATCATATGAGTCACACTAGAGGTGTGTGTTTCTTTGAAAAAAACTCACAGCAGCACTGGTCGTTCAGAGTTGGGGAAAATAGTGAGATTATTTTACCAGTAAATGACACACAAATATGCAGGCTTCAAGGTTGATCTACTGATCCATTACATCTGATCGCTTGTCCATATGCAGCACTGAATCCAGGAATATCAATCAGTGGGATTTGCCTTAGTGAGTCACAGGAATGATGGGAATTCAAATTCACTATTCTTGCATCTGCTGCCATTCAGGACGGCACACTGTTGTTGTTCCTTTACTTCCAGACTGTTGAGTGACGTTTAAATGTGAAAAACTGTCTTGAACAAACCTGAGTCAGCGGTCAGCATGTTTCAAGGCAAGTAGACTTTGAGATTAGTAAATCTTCAGATTTTAGGCAGCTGTGTTTTATGTGTGAAATTAGCAATTGTATAAAATTATTGCAGGAGCAGAGGAATTTAACCATGTCAGTTACTCATACATTACACAACCGCAGACATGTTGTGCAATGTCTAAAATAATTTAAGGTTCATCAGCCATGGATGGTCTTCCGCATCACGATATCTGGGGATGTTAAATTATATATTCAAAAGGCTCTTTAGAATATTGCTCTTCTAGGAAGCCAGTCAGTTCTTTGCTGGGCAAAAGGTAAAACATGTAACTTTAATGTCCTGAGGTTTTTCATTCATTGAGAAGCAAAAAAATATCACTTCTTTGGGAAAAGTTTTGTTGAATCTTTGTTAGAAGACAAACTTCTTTTATAGAGACCTGTCAGTTTGAAGATTACTGTGCACACCGTCTTACAGTTTATAACATGCAGACCCAGAAAGAAAACACAGCTGCTGTAATTGGAGAAAAATAATTGTGTGTTTAGATGCAAAGCTAAACGAAGTATTTATGTGTGTTTGAGAAATCAAAAATCAACATAAACTCTGTCTTTGCTGTGCTGCTTTATTGCCATCCTCTTCTTTACAGAAGTGTGCAGTTACCTAGATATGATTCGGTGTGATGGCAGTAAAATATGCGTACTTTTAAGTACTGATTCATGCTGCCACATAGACCTGACCTGTATGAGAGTGTTTAACAGTGTAACATACACCATGCTTCCAAAGGTGTGCCAGGAAAATTGTATTCTTCACGCCATTACACTACCACCACTTGCCTGAAATGTTGATACAAGGCAGGATGGACCCGTGTTTTTATGTTACAGCATTTACGTCATATTCTATACTGACAGAATGTTACAGCTAAAATTAAGACTCATTTGGTCAGGCTACATTTCCCCAATATGTTAATGTAGGTTTTTGTGAGCCGTTCTTAGCTGACAGGATTCTACCCAGTGTGGATGTGTTGCATTTTCAGTGATAATATTCTGCATATCTTGGATGTAAAGAGTTATTTGAACTCGGCTGCCTATCTGTTGTCTCAAACCAGGCTACACACTCTCCTCCGACCTTTGGAAACAACAAGGCCTTTTTGTTCACACAACTGCCAGTGATTGCCTGGTTTCCTATTTTGCACATAACTGATTGAACAAGTGTACCTAATAAAGTGCCCACTGAGAGTGTGAGATCCGCAAAACATCTTTGAGAATGTATGACATGGTTTTGCAACATGATGCCTTTTAATAGGTTGTACTCGTTTCTCTCTCTCTGAGAGCAGTTTAACCATTTGGACTTTTTGTTTTGTTCAGATATGGGATAGGTACATCTGTCACTCACAGATGTTTTAAGAATGTAATATATCTATTTTTTGATATATGTGGATGTTACTATTGCACAATATTGTATTGGCTACGGCAACAGTAGTGTGTCTTGTTATTTTCTGTTTACCTTTTCTACCATTTACTTTTGAGGTTGTTAATGTGGACCCAGAGAACATATTGCATAAAATCAGACTAAAGCTAAGATACCTTTAGTTACCAACTATCAGGGCTCTGACTTTGTTTCGACAACTAAAACCACTTCTCCAGTTTTTTTTTAAATATATAATACTATTTGAAGCCAAGTGAGTTGTATTTCTGTAATCTGCTTATAAGTTGGACGGGTCATGCTATTTACTGTTGGGATTATGATTATTGATTAATTAATATTTATCAAGAATTATAATTAAAAATCCTAATTTGAGAAAAGTAATTTCTTAACCAAAAATCCTCATTTATGAATCGAAACCAGAGAAGTCCTCTGGTGTTGTAATTGTGGCTCAAAGCCCTTGATAATTACAATCATAAAATTCTCTGTAATAGTTGATAACTATTACTAGATGTTATTGTTTAATCAACCGTTTCTACCGAAACATGGGAAACTTTAACCTTATTTTGACTGACAAATCACTCTTGCACAAAATAAACACGAACGCCCTCTCTTTATCTACGTGAATATTTATTAAATCAACAGCCCTGATACAACTCGTTCTTCCGATTCAATAATCTTCACCTAATCAAACATGCAAAGTTCTACACAAAAGGGTAAAATATCTAACTAAACAAAGTAAAACAGCATTGAGTGTGTATGAAATCAAACCAGCTGTTATGGCAGTTATGACAAAATACAAAAGGAATATGGTTGAACGAAGCTTTCAATTAAATTAAAATTTCAATTAAAATTCAATTAAAATTCAAAAATACTTTATTAATCCCAAAGGGTAATTAAATGTTGTTGTAGGTCATATTATGCAGGTTTCTTCAAAGAGCCGTTGTGGATGCTGATGGCTGTGGGCAGGAAGGATCTCCTGTAGGTCTGTCTTACAGCAGATCTGAAGAAGCCTGACTGAAGAGACTCTGTTGTTGTAGGACAGTCTGATGAAGAGGATGTTCTTCATAATGTTCATTTTATGAAGAATCCTTCTTTGCACAATGATCCCCAGAGGTTCTAGAGGA